ACTCGCATTTTTTCAGCAGTTTCAGTATATTTGCAGTTTTTTTTCCGGAATATTTCAGTATTTTTCATAAAAGTATTTTTTTTTTTTTTGCATTTTTCGCAGAAATTTTTTTGACGGTTTTTTCTCATGGCGCTGTTTAACTAACATAAAATACCATGGTTTTAAGAATCCTAAAACTGTAGACCAAATTTTTCAACGTCGATTTTTGCGCAGGAGATTGGCCCGAATGGATACGTTCGAGCACAGCGAGGCAGATGAGTGCCTATGGCTATGGAAGTGCTTTAGGAAACCGCGGAACACCGAGTGCAACCAGGCGAATGCACATGATGCAGCGCGCTGCCGGTCGCTGCTTCTATCACTGGGGCTGTCAGGTTTGCTTTTTACTCACTGACTAAGGTGGCTGGTTGCTGTTATTTTGGGATTAGCAGTCAAGGGCGAACTTAGTTGCATTTCTCTAGCGAAATTATCCCTGCGGTGCCTCTTTTTTATGCGTTTTTGCTGTGCAGCTGCTACAGCCAACAAAAACACGTATTGTCGAGAGACGTGTGCGCGCGCGGAAGCGTGTGTCACCCTCTCGTTTTCCTACCCGTGTGTCACCCTCCCGTTTTAAGATTTTTCCTTACACGCGCCTAGACCCCGCGTACGCCCCGCCCCTCCCCCTCCCCCCCTCCAAAAAAAATATGCAAATTTCTTTGACGGGAAGCGATTTCGCGAACCAGGCAAGGCACAAAGCTGAAACTATGCAGGAATATTCTCTGTGCACGTGCGAGTTAAAGATTTCAAATTCAGCTGTCGCGCACGCTAGTGCAGCGCGTACGATCACGTCAAATCTTGCTACTTGGCGCTATGCTAACTCGAAAACTTGCCGGACAACAGTGGCTGAAATTTTGTCAGCATATTTGTCGCCCATACAGGAAATAGTATACCTAAAATGAGCACTGATTTGCACTTGCGTCGCGACTGATGGCACTTCAAAGATATTTGTAGCGAGTTGGATATTTCGCTTGTCGGATAAGTTGCGAGGCTGAAAATTCGCTGTAATATTCTACTTTCAAGTGTAGTTGTAATTCTGCTTGGAGGTGAAATTCCTCGCAGGTAGGCGTGAGAAATATTTAACTTTGCCGAAAAATCAGAAACGAGTGCGTTTTGTAACGAACGATCGCCCTCATCCAAATGTGTAAATGAACACTAGTTGATTTGCACACCTGGATTTTTTTCACAAACGATCGCTAGAGCAACACTTCCACATTTTAGTGAACTGGAAATTTGCATTTTTTCGAAAAACTTGCAGTTTCATTTTTTCGAAAAGCTAGTACTCACTGAAAAAACGATCGAAGTTCATGCGAAAAACTGATAATCATGCACCTGCGGGTCCATGCGGCTCTGTAATGCAACACCCTCATCCCAAATGTTCTGCTGCATGCCGAAAGAAGCCAAAGCATGGCCATTACCAGTCCAATCGTTTGGCTGCAGCGCAGAGATTATTCCTGCTATGAGCGACTCGCGAGTTTGGTGCGAAAACGCGTGATCGCAGGCAAGTCTAATGCGTCTCACCCTGGGCTTTAATTCTTCTAATGTTTAACTTCTTACGTTTCGATATCACAATTCGCCAAAATACTTTACTTTGTGGCTTGATTTTGCGCAAATTTACGTCTCTGTTAGTAAAACAAAGGAGAGAGAAGGCACTCCAATACGCATGGTTGGAAATTTTAAGATTTTAGTTCTGCAGGTAATTCCTAAGGAATGTCTCAGAATCATATACCAAGACCTTGCAGGATCTATAGCATTAATTTTAGATCCAGATTAATTTAATGAAATCAATGTGGAGTAAGCCGGAAACTGGGTTTATTATGCGTTGTTACGTGCAACGCTAGAGCGCTGCAACAGGCAGCAAAAAACGCATACTGCAACGGCCCTGTCAGTGTGTTTGTGTGTGTGTTCGCCTGTCCGGGCAATTCAACTCACTAACCACGCAAGCTTTGAAGCTGAAATTTTGCTACGGCGTTCCCAAGGTCGCGGCATCAATCCTCACGAACTTGAGAATGAGATATGCTAGAAAGCTGAAACTTTAGGGGTATGTTCAATATTCATGTGCAACCAAAAATCACTAAATCGGGAACGAGAAAAGCTGGAAGGCTTTAATTTTAAGGGAATGTTCCCTACTTATGTGAGACTAAAAGACTTCAAATTTGACTTTTTTAGTGGGGCCGTTTTTGCGGGCCAACAACTTTCTGTTTGTCGGGTCGCTGAAGTCGACATCTACAACTGACATGCCACGTAGCTGCGTAATTAACTTCCCGATCTTCGAGGGCCAGTATGTCACAAGGCTAGCGCCTGTGATTCCTTGCGATCTTAGGACAGCACGAAGAGTGTAAAAATGCATGATCGCACCGACCCGCCTAGTGAGTTACAGCCTAGATTTACTGATTGTATCGGGCGAAATGCATCGTTACTAAT